AAAGGTTTTCCTCTGCTTCTGAATCTCCGCCGAAAAGTCAGGATATAGGCGGACTGAAGCATTCTCATGGCGAAGGTCCGGGTACGTTTTGGCGGCCGCCAGTATCCTGCCCCGCTCCCGGAAATTGAGAAGGCGCGCCAGAAATGGTCTTGGGGGCCCCAGGGACAGGCTTCCCAGTGAGCACCCCATGCGCCCTCTCTACCACAAAGGTGGGGGGGAGCTCTTCCAGGGCCAGCACAGATTTAAAGAATGTCTCCACGAATTGAGCAGGCCTCTGGCCCTCCGCTCCTTCAGGTAGGCCCACTATGCGCACATTGTTGCGCCGCATTCTATTTTCGGAGAAAATGCTGTGAGGGCGATTTTACAGCCCTCTATGGCATCCAGGATGGATTTTGTCTCAGCCATCTCCTCACCTGCTTTCAATGGGGAGACAGGCTGATCCGGAGGGGCCAGTGCCGCTTCGGCAGCGCCTGCAGCTTCTCCCGTGCACAGGGTCCGGTGTGAGCACTCACAGGCAGCAGGGGAGGAAGGCAAGATGGCGGCGGCGAGACATGAGCCGCATGCTGGGATCTTCTCCAGCCTCTTTTGGGTGTATTGCCATGCTTGCCGGACCTAGAGGGCATATCGCCCGGCACCGGACATCCACCGGAGCTCATGTGAGTAAGTCAGGAGCCGGATCGTCAGGATTAACACAGGATAAAGGTAAGTGCAGCGGCGGAGCTCCCTCAGTCACGTCCGCGCTGCTTCACATCCTGGCCACGCCCCCCCCCCCCCCCCACGCCAGAATTGGTGCCGACGCTGTCCTTCCTTCTGGAGGATGGCTACTTTTGTTCCCCATGGTCCCTGTGTGTGTGTTGTAAAGTAGCCATCACTCCAAGATCACTCTCAAGATGGACTACGACCTCACATTTACTTTACTAATTTGTATTGAGATTGTAGTCTATCACAGGAGCGAGCTTAGAGCGGTGGCTACCTTACAACACATACAGGAACCATGGGGAACAGAAGTAGCGACCCTACAGAAGGAAGGACGGCGTTGGTACCAATTCCAAAATGATTTGAGGATCTACAGCCGAGTGATGCACAAATAAGATACATTTTTGTTAAATGTTAGGGTATTAGAATTTATTTTTAGGATTTAACTCCTGAGTTTAGTGTTACTTTCAGTCACAGTCACATGTCGAAGTATTAATTACCCATGGTACAATAATAATATACTACATCTACTCTGTTACAAATAATGTTCCTTCACACACACACATCATCCTATTTATCCTATTCATTATTTAGCAATATTTTATTAGTATACATGGTAAATATATTTTACACCATTATATGAACATTTGTTTTTCTAATTATTCTCTTTGAGACAAATGCAGTTTCATTATTTATTATTCTATGAATATACATTATGTACAAACATGATTATAAATGTTTTCTTATTTAAACTCTTTTTTTTTAGTATTATTTTTTTATTTTCACACACACACTAAACACACACACACACACAATTTACATATATGATTCTTTCACATAATTCTCTTCACCACTAACATTTCATATAGTTACATTTAGTTGTTACATAATTTTTCTAATACATATGCATAGTGATTATTATGCATATAACCATTGTATATATATGTTAATACAAATACATATGCATAATGATTATTACAAGTACATATGATAATTCTACTAAGGAGGTAATTATGTAGGGCTCTATTTATTACATGTATAGTTTTATATTTATTTAGGGATATACAAATTTCTGAATATTTATTAAGTCATCAAATGCATTTTTTGATGTTCCAATCTTTTGCTGTGAACAAAATGTAATTTTTTTTTAGACTTTAATGCTGATATCGCAAAACAGATAGCAATCTTTTTTTTGTTCCACTCAATCAGGGGGTTGTGATCTGGTCTCTGTTACTGATATCCTACGCTATATATTGAATGGGTGTATGGAGAAGTTGTATAGAAGTTGGAGAGTGTATCTTTTAATATTTCTTCCAGTCGATGTCTTATTATTTGGTTTTCGATGCTGGTGCTCTCTGCTTTTTGAGTATGTAGGGTTACGGTGAAGATGCACGGAAGCTGAATGATTATCTGCCTAATGTTATCTTTGTTTTTATGTTCGATACCAGCTGTGGAAGATTCTGTTATTTATAAGAGTGTGTGTGATGATAGTTTATAGAAGCTGGATGGGTGATCTAAGGTTTCAGAGGAGGTCAAAAGACACCAATTTTTCCTTTCCCTGAAACCTTGCGTCTGCACCATCCCGATGTTCCTCGCACGAACCTAGGACTGGGCCCCTGGGCATCGAGAGCAACCACAATCCCAACTGCGTGGAGACAACTGTATTTTCCACAGGCCTCCCTGTAAGATTGGATTTACCAAAACCTTAGGGCACTTGCAACCTCAACCGTCATAATAATTTTTCGTTTTGCTTGCCTCATATCTAAATAGATAAAAATGTTTTAATAGTGTTATATATTGTATCTCTAGTGGAATTTATGTTATGCGGACTTGGATTTAAATACACAGCACTGTTTTAAGTAAGAACTATTACGCAGCACATTGCTTGAAGATCCATGTGAAGTGAAGTGATCAGCATGTTACGAGTGACACTCTTATAAGCCTGATTGCTGTGGTGCACTTTAAGTGCTATCCCAGTAATAAAAGGAGGTGAGCTTGCAGTGTTCATCTGAATCCAAATGTGATTTTAAGGATACTTTTAGATACTTTTAGGTATTTTTGTATTTTTTTTTTCTTGTAGCATAGATCTATTTCAGCCTGCATATTCAGATGCGCTCGCACTCCCCTTGCTGGTTCCTAGCAATAAGGGCTGCTGGACACTTCCTCTGAGATCATGTCTGGGAAAGCAATTTAAAGGATAAGTGCACTTTAAAACAAAGTGCACTTACCCTTTTGGACTGTTTAAGCGTACCTAACTGATGTTCCCTTCCCTTGCACAGATCATTATCGAGTTCCGATGGGCCTGGCCTCCATTGTTTTACATCCTGGAGTGAACACCTCCCTTTGTTTAATATCCTGGCGACACCTGTGAAGTAAATCCCTATTGACTTCTATGAGACAATCTCCCGTTTGGAAGATGTTAAAAGACGAGCCCCATAGAAGTCAACAAGGATATACTGAGCAGGCAGGGGCCAGGAAACGGAGATGTTTTCCACAGGATGTAACTCGGTAAGTATGCATAGGTGCAGGTGGAGGGTGGGATGGATTAGAGGTCATAGGGATAATGCACTTTGTTTTAAAGGTAAATTATCTTTTAAGCCTAATCTTTTAGAATTCAGGAGTTGCCTGAGCAAAGATCTCTCTGATTATTTGTTCCAAGGCTGCTGTAACCTTCATCTCTGTTTCAGTTTTGATACTCGTGTACCTTCTCTGCCTGTTTCTCAATGATCCTTGTTACCCACCTGGCCTGATCTTTTTCCTGATTCTCAACGATCCTTGATATCAGGTTATCCAGATGCTATGACCTTCTGACTGTCTGACCACAACCCTGCCTGCGGATTTTGTACCAGGATTTGTTTCTGCCTGCTGTTAGCTGTTTTTCACTGAGGGCCATAATCTGGGAGCTGTCCACAGAGAAGCCCATCATCCCTTGTGGGGTGCTCTAGTGAACACTGGGCAGTTCCCTAGACCCAGCACCTCAACCCCTGGCAACACACCAATCCACTACCTCCATGACATGGGCTTTTTAGGGTTTAAATTTGGGTTTACCATTCATTTTTAGAGTAGGGGTATTGGTTGGTTTAGGATTCACAAAATGTTTGGGGTTGAGATTTATTTACTGTTAAAGTAAGAGGTAGGTTTCGCATAGGCTTAGGGCTAAAGGGACACTAAACTCTCCTTTAAAAATGCTAGTTCCTTAGCTGTCATTCTAATACCTTTGTGAAAGAAGACTTAAAAAGAGCACCAGGTAATCATCTCAAGAGTCCATATATTGTTCACTGGCTTCAGAAATGGCAACAAGAAAATGTGCACATATAACGTGTTTTGGGGGTCTGGAATTCCTCGTCATCAGGGCGAAAACAATGGACAGCGGGATACTGATGAGCTCTAAACTTACAGCCCTTGCAGATAATCCTATTTTTCCAGCAGGAGTGGAAATCATTGGTGTTAAAGGATCTTTATCAGCATTGCTCAGCATTTATACTAATTCTAATGTTTTGACCTGAATGATGTCCGAGTCGTTGACCTGGAAAAACAAGTAAAGAAAACGAGTTCTGACACTAATTTACAGCATGTTTGCTCCAGGGCTGTGACTGAAACATTTTGAAGTCAGACACAGCCAGCAATCTAGCAATGTCTGGAGGGCTGCAATGGCAGCCCCCATACTTCTCTCATGAAGAAGTCACTTTGAGATAAAAGTTAGTTGTAGATTTCAATAAGGTTAAGCTGGGGTTTGGAAAAGGATTGAAGGAGGGTTAAACTTAAAAGGCAGGTGTAGGGTTATGGTAGAGGCTGGAGTTAGGAAATGGTTTTGGGTGGTTTTAGACTTAGAGTCAGGGTTGGGGAAAGGTTTAAAGTTATTGTTGTCATTGGGATTAAAGATAGGAATTTAAAAAAAAGGACTTCAGGGTTAGGCTTAAGGCCCTATCTTAAGATAAGGTTAGGTTTGGTGCTCAATTTCAGTTTGAGGTTTGGGCTAGGTTTGGGGATGAAGTGTAGGTTAGGTTTAATACCAGGGTTAGGTAGAGGAAGGGTTAGGATGTTAGAAGTGGAGAGATAAAATCATATGAAACTTTTTTTATTTAATTTTTTTAACACGGACACTAAAAAGGGGTGTATTTAAATTAAAATATAAACACTCCAGACTTTACACTTTAAAAACATGTTTTACAGTACTTTAGCATACCGAGTACTTAAATAATGATAGTAAAACATATACATTTTACAACTAAAAAAAGTTACCCGTTTTTAGCCCTTTGCTTACACAGTCAATTTTTTGGAAACTCTCATGACAGGAAGGCAAGTCACCGTCTGTTCCGCATCTCATTGTGGTTTTTACGAACAGCAAGGAAGCGTCTTCTCTTCAGAAAGTCTGGAATGCCAAAATCGTCATCCCATAAGTACTCAGGTGAGAGAATTTTAGTTGGTTTATGAAGAAGTAAATATTTATTTAGGTAACTCTCATCATGCCAAAGAGCTTCAATGTTTTTGGCCTTGTCTTTCATCATGGCATTGTGGCAGAAGTTTGTTAAGTTGTAGACTTCCTCTATTGAGCCCCCAAAGAATCCCCCAGCATAATAAAAGTCTCCTTCATTTGCAGGGATGTAGGCTTCAGACTCGGGATTTCGTTCATATGTATAACCTTCGCGTTGCACCCCGAACATTCCCGGATGTAGTGTGCCAAACAGATTACTTAAGATTTCCACTCCGACTTCATCGTTGAACCTCATATCCACATCTACACACACCAAAAAGTCAACTTCACGAAAGAATCTCTCATGTGAAAAATCCCGAATCATCTCCATCCGCCTCATGGACACATCCTGCCATCTAGGGTAGCTGGGGACTTCGAGAATGCTCATACTTCTACCCTCATTTAGGTTCATGACTGGAATGTCACTCGCACGATCAGTAAACACATAATAAGTGACCTTGTGCCCAATCATGAAAACATTTTCTGCAGTTTCTATGAAATTCTTTACAAAGAAGGTGTACCTTTCAAAAAA